ATTTATAACTTTTTTGTCCAAAAAAAATACCATAAAAAGAATACAACCGGATTTTTACACCATATGCGACCTCTAGCTTTTAAAATCAGGTGATTCTTCTTGTTGCGTGTGCCGTGTGCTATACAGGTGGCCCAGGACGGCCGGCCCTCAAGAATGTTGAATGAAGTGCCGTCGACGTGTAGGTCACCTGCCAACCGAGGGAACGTAGGTACTGCGGTCAGTCGATGTCAAAAGGTCAATGAAACCGAAATTATTTGTTTGGTCTTCGGTCCGATGGAATGTGCTATCGTAATTTTTGATTTGTTTCGGGTCAAGTTTTAACATTGAAAATGTTTCTGTTATCCTATATAAGGGAGCCCAAATCGAATTAAAATGCTACATTTGCCACACCATGACGTCATATATACAAGGTATAGGAAATCTCGGCGCAGCGGCGGCAGTCGGCCAGCGCCCGCAAAAACCATTACATCGCTAATTGTTTATTGATATATCTTTATTAGTTTAAAAGCAAAAAATATGGGGTTTGCTTTGATACCTTGTCAAGACATAAGCGAAACTTTTAAATTGTTTCTTTTTCTCATTTAGGCCTTCGTTTTTCGTTAAATGAAAGTTATATTAAAAAAATCTATTTTTAAACCAAATTTTCGCATGATTGAAATGATTATTCATGTTTAAATTCCTTTTTTTTGGTCATAAGCGCTAATGGAAATGTTTTTTGTAAATAATTAAAAAGTACCTACCCTACGAAGACTTTATTGTGTACTGGATCAAAAAATAAGTATTTGTTTTTTCTATACGGTGAGAACTATTAATATATCGATTTTTGATGATAGTGCCCTTTTACCCAGTCTAATTTTGTACTACTTTCGGAATAGGGTCCACATATCATGTAATTGTACTTCCATCCCAAAAAATCAGCTTGACACCGAAGTGAGAGGTAACGTCAAAAATAAGCTTTAATCTACCTACATCATAGGTAGGTGTAGCCAGTACTCTAGGTATATTCTACCTAGACAGTAGCTGAACTAGCTGACAGTAGTAATTAATTTGTTATCCGATAAGTAGTTGTCATTATATAAGTTTAATCATCTTATACCTCCTATAACGGTAGGTTTTGGATTTTTCCTGATTGGTTTTAGGGGAAATTCGTCCTCTAGAGAGTAAAATTATCTCGGAACAGTTTGTCGTATGAAAATTCCTTACTATTTTGGTCTAGAAGAATGAAATCCTACAAAAAGACTTAGAAGAAATTTTTTGAAATTCATCAACCAATGGGTAAAGTTAGTAAAAATTTATATAAAACTTGGTGACCTCTGGATTATACACATAAAAATTGGCACAAAGGTAAAGCGAATTTATGAAATTTATACCCTTAGGGAGTAGAATAGGGAATAAAAGTTTGCTGTACGAAAATGCAATATTATAACATTATAAACCAGACAGTATAAAATTTTATACAAGGGTTTATTTAGTGACATCATAACGAAATATATATTCCTCAATTATCCTTCAAAGAATAAAAAATAACCTATAAAGAGAGTATTAATGCTCTTAATAAATAAAAAAAAAGATGAAAAATAAAAAACATCTATGCTCACTAGCTCTCTATAAAGAAGTAAAAAATCATTTAAATCAATGCATGAACGATTCAAGGTGTAACGCGAACGTAGTCGCGAGAAAAAGCTAGTAATTTATTAAATTATTTTATTTAACTCATTAATTTTCATTGAAAAGGAATTTTTGTAATTCGCCACTATATTAGTTAAAAACTAAGAAACTCATGTCAAATTTAAGTTTTGAGATTTTGACTTATCATTTTTACAAAATCTGAACACATTTTAAAAGAAAAAAAGTTTTTGATAATATTTGTGTAGATTGACTACAAGTTGTATAACATAAATTTCTACGACCGGTCTACCTAGTGGTCTGCAGCATCGCCTTGTGGTGCAAACGTGGGCCTGTTAATCTGTGACGTGACGTACAACAGCCAAGAAAAACAGAAGCGTGGCTAAGAATTTAGTAATTTAAAAAAAAGTCTTTTAGATACAGTAGTAGGTATTAAAAAGTTTTGTGTTTAAATGGGGTTTGCCTTTAACAGTTAAAAAAATATATCGTAAAGTGTAACTTTGCGTAAGAATTCTTATCTGATCATTGATCATGATCTGTCATCATGTTAACCTGATGTTTTGTATGTTGTTTTGTTTTTCGAGGTTTTTTTGCTTGCTTGTTTTATTCGGATAGGTGCGATCGCATAATTATTATTGATAATGTTTTATTTAATGTTAACATTACTACTTTTTCAGTGAATCTTTAAATCTGTTGTTTTTTGTTAAGTTCGTTATTTAAACATAATATGTATGTAATACACTCATATTAACACTAATCATATTTTTACGTTTTTATTCATCATTTTCAATGCCCCCCTGGTTGCATCTTTGTAAAGGACTGTGATTTTTTTTAATTCATTTCTCAAGAAGAAAGAATTTATTTTTAGCCGACCATGCCAACAGGTATGGTAGGCTATTAAGATGAGCAAAAAAAAAGTTTTTTTAATTTCACTCAAAATGAGTTATTTGGGTCATGAACGACCTAAATACAAAATATTTTCATGGTGTCGGTATGTCTATCTGTCTGTCCGTCTGTCTGTAACACGATAACTCAAAAACCGCTAAACCCATTTTAACCAAATTTAACACAAAAATACTGTGGCACCCGAGAATCTGGCCATTAGATTTTGGTGAGGGTGGGGGTTTAAAAATTCGTAACTCCAAAATAATAGTAGCTAGCGAAACGCGGTTTTCAATTTAAGATTAGGAATAATATTTGCAACAAAATTTGTAATAACATCAAAATCAGTCAAAGTCGCAGTTTTTGAGATTGGAAAAAATTGGAAAAACTCCTTTACTTTGAAACTAAAAAACTGCCTACCAACTTTTTATTAACATATTTTAGTATGGACGGCTATACGTGCCTCCCGGCGCCAATTTTTTGACTTGAGATAGAGAGAACTACTATAATAGTAACGGCTTTTAAACAAGGGTAACAGTAAACAGTAAACTATTATAGTAAGTAAATAAAGACGCCCTAGGGGGTATATGAATAATAAAAGGTAAGACAGTAACCATATACAGGGTGATTCAAATTCGATCCCTACCTTTGGGATCTTCAAAAATTATGATTAAATTAGAGCAAAATTGTGCATTAAAGCGCCTAATAATATGCTGCTTAGAAACAATTAAAATTCCGACTTTTTCTTGCGTTATTTGACAAGGTATCCTAAAATTAAAAGCACATTTTCATTACCACATTTTTCCAGCTAGACAACATACGACACGGAGTATTGTAGTTAAACGATTAGATTTTTGCAAATTGTAAGTTTTGGGTTCGTTGAAGGACTATTTAAGAGCTACAATTTAAAAACATCTTTACAAGATACAGAGTGTCCCAAATAAATAAAAAATCAAAGTTGTATTTTTTTAAATGGAATACTCTGTATATTATTAAATTTTTAGTTTCTATGATTAAAATAAAGGTAAATTTGATTAAGGTTTACCGCATTTTAATCTTACCGTTTTTGAAATATTTAGGCTTTTGTCAAAATACAGTAAAAATTCAAAAAGAAGAAAGACTTCATTTCTCCAAGGGTATCAAAGTTTTTAATACTAAATACTTATTTACTGAATATTTATTGTGTTGCAATAATAAAAATAATACTACCTCATACAGAGTGTCTAATAATTTATTTTAAATAATTTCTAGCTTTAAACGGCAATAACTTGTTTAATTTAAATGAAACACCCTGTATACTTTAGGAGAGTCAGATGCTCAATTTAATTGTCTACCAAATTGTATTATACAATTTTTTACCTATCCCTTCAAGTTTTCGTAGAAAAAATATTTTTTTATAATTTAGACCTCATTTATCAATATACCCATGGAATATTGACATTTTAAATTGTTAAAAGTAAACAGACATCAGTAAATATTTTGTATTAAAAACTTTGATGAACTTCCTAATAATATACAGGGTGTTCCATTTAAAAAAAATGCCAAAATTGGCAGAAATAGCGCAAGAACAAAATTAATGTTCCTAATAATGGAAAAAATACTCATTTGAGAAAATGCTCGAATATTGCCATTGGTTCACAAGTAAAAATACTGAGTTTCTCGATTGTTTACTAATAGTAAAATTATTTAAGTCTATATTAAAGTGAAATGAATAATAGCAACAACTATGGATTGCTAAGAAAATCCTAAGGGCACATGAGCATGGTAAATATGTAATACTACTTTTGATAATTTATTGTTTTGCTGACTAACTTAAAAACTAAAATAACTTACTGCATCTGCCTATGATTCAGAAGAAACATGTTTTGAGTATACTGCTTACCTGAAACAAAAAAAAAATATATGTTAATATTACATTATATTCAAAAAATTATTTCTAGTGAATGTTTTTTAAAAAAAGATAAAAAAGATTTTTGAAATATGGTCATTGTTATTGTGATTTTGATTGGCCCTGTATACGAAAATAACATTTTAGGGAACCAAAAGCCAAAAAGCAAATCAAACAATTTTAAACCACATTTAATTTTAAAAATAAATAATAATATACTAAATAAACCATAACCTATAACAATAACGGTAAATACAATTTACCTATACAGATACGGGTAATTATTTCTTGATTATATAAAATAAAAATAATCATTAAATCCAAGAAATGGTTCAATAAATAACAAATATTTGAATAAATCCTTCAAACAACATAAATCATGTAATCCACTTTCATAATATAATATTTAAAAGAAAATCTACTCTTTATAAAATAAATAAATAAATAATAAAATTAATGAAATCAAAAAAAGACTTTTAAGTTTTCTGCCAGCTCTGAGAAGAAGTGGTTGAAGAATGTTTTGCAACTTTGAAAACAGACAACTTACATAAAAGTATATTAAACAGTAAATGCTTGTCAAACTAACTATAACAACTGACTTTGACAACCAATGTCAATGTTATCAATGAACAATTAGCGATGAAATTCGAAAACATTTTTAGAAAACTTTATATAAAGTTCAGTCAGTTTGAAGCGCCCCATAAACGTAAATTTATCTCAAAACTTTTGATAAAACTTCCAAAAAGCTTGTTTCCTAACTATCGAGTCATAGTAAACCCAGTTATCATTACTAGTAATAGACGTACTTTGAATATAACTAGAAGAAAAAGTGACTCGTCCAGTGAAAGTGACTCTTGGTATAGCAGTTTTAGTTCCATTTCTGATGAAGAAACCCGAAAATCTATAAAGAAAAGAAAGAATAGGCGTCAAAAATGTTGTAAGCATTGTAGGAAAGTGTACAGAGGCATAAAACACTACATAAATGATAGTAATTCAAGCAGAGATAGTTTGAATAAGAGAATTAATGATCTTTCGAGTACTAGCTTGCCAAGAAGTGAGTTTTCTGATGTAATAAGTGATGATGAGAAAATTAACATTCCTGAACCTCCACCTTTGCCTCCTAGTGATTTTTTAAAATTTAATACTGAAGATTTTGTTGCAAGTACTCCACAGAAAAGGATAACAACTCAAGATCTTGGTAGTGTCAAGGTTTGTATCTTGCTATCCTTATTTGTTGTTCATTCAAAATTAACAATTATTTTTTGTTGAATTTCAGCTAAGGCCATCAACTATTCAACTGAAACTCCCAAGAACGCCGGAAGTTCATGATATGATGCAAGTCTTAAGAAAAAGATTTGCTGCAATGCATTCTCCCCTTCAACAAGAAGACTATTCGAGCAGTGACACGTATGATGAAGATCCTCCTGAAAACTACTATAATTCAAATTCATTCATGAAAAATGGGAACATGTTTGTACCTTTAGGAATAGCTTAGAATGTACTTGTATGGTAGAAATAAACTATATTTAATGTCTGTTTGTGACATGTTAGAGCAAAAAATTTTTTAGTTTTCATTTATTATCCCAACATATACAAGAAAAATGTAAACAAACCGTTTCTTTATTTACAGTTTCATTTGACCAGAAACTTAATATAATCTATTTTTCAAGATTTGACAGTGATGGGCGTAGATTTAGGACCTTTATAAAATCAGAAAAAGAGTTTAAAAGATATATCTTTTCGTCCAAGTCTCAACGTCCGAGCACAGGTTTTTCACAAAAAAACACGTATGACGAAACTTAAAAATGTTAAACTAAGCCCCCCCCCCCCTAAAAGAGAAAAATATAAAAAGGAAAAAATATATATACAGATATATCATTTTATTAAAGTTAAAAATAAATGTTTTGAATAAACAACCACATTTGTAGGCCGATTCTTTCTACTTCGATTGAAACGAAGTAGTCACACTAGTTATTTCTAAATTTGGGATATTTGCAGCAGTGTTTGTGCATTTTTGTCAAATGTATAAAAAGCACCTAGCATCAATTGTTCGAATGCTGCTGAAACGCTCCACAGGGCGACATCGCATTACTACCCCTCAGCAAGATCATTTTTACAATTAAATGCTCGACGCCGACCGAGTCTTACAGCACCAAATGCTTAACAGCCGTTATTGTTGTCCATGTACAAATATTAGTTTATTTGATAACAACAAATATATTATGTAATATGTATAGATACAGAGGCATAATCAATCTGTTCTGAATGATATGATAAAACAGTAGAAAGCTATAATCATTTTTTTTCTGAATAACTAACTGTCAGTAAAGAAAATGTAAAGATTGTGTCCTTCACATAATTCGAAACATCAAAATATTTATCAAAGCAAACCATTAGTGAAATAGATTTTAAAAAGTCTATCTGGTATTAGAAAAATTCTATGAAATATTTTTCATCGTATTGAACACACACCCTTAAAGAGTCCAAAATAGATAGAGCTATTTTAGGCTAATCAATACTAGTGTGACCATTTGACCTATTAGGGTGACATAAGAATAACACAGATAAAATAGCAGAGAATAGCCAAAGTCGTGTATTTCGACCCTAAAAAGAGATACTAAAAAAGTCAAACAATTTAGCTACATTGCATCCACTAAAACATAATATATAAAGCTTTAAAATAAATCAAAATTTTAAGATGCCTGTTTTTCGTGCAGGTAAAAGTATTTTCCAAGGTTTGTGGTGTAAAGTAAAGTGGTATTATGAAAACGGATTTAGAGAAACTTTTTTAAAAATAGTTACTTTATAAAACTATAGTCTGTCCAACGACAAGACCCTTGACAGTGACAGATGTGTCTGTCATTTTAATTTCAAAGTAGTTTATTTTATTTTACAAAGAAATAAGTTGGTACAATTGGAACGCATAACAGGAAATTAATATATTTAAAATTTGACTGATAAGTGATTACTTCAAAATATTGTGAAAAAAAACTGTATAAAACTGAAAAATGTAATCGAGTTATTTATTTAAAAGAAAGCGGTGTGTGTTAATACAAAACAAACAAGAACAAAACACCACATACCAAAAAAATATAAAAAGAACTAGATATTTCTTACTTTCAAGCTTCAAGAAACTTCCCGCATTTATTCTTATATTTATCAATATAACTTGTATGTGTGTATGTACAAATACAAATTTGTAATACTTCACAGGAATAAATAAAACAAACTATTTTTATTAATAATAACACTTACCAAATTGTATACCTTAAATTTTGATTAATTAACTTTAATCTTAATTTTTTAAACCAGTACCTTTTGACATTATTTTTCTGCAGTACTAAAATCCATTATTTACCGATCGTGTGATGTCGATATTTTACAGCTACTCCAGTAGTAGGTACCTATATATGTTTAGTACGATCTTTGTACCATATATGAGATGCACTTATCTACGACGAGATGGTATAAAAACTTTATTGATGGTAACTTTATTGGTGTATAAGACTAACTGCCAGGGCAGCGAGTATTAACTATAAACCTGTACTCTGGGTCTACAGTTAATTTTCCCTCGATTTTTCCTCCACTTGACTTCAAAAGACACAAAATACACGTAATAACTCGAATTAAAATGCATCATATTTGGCATAAGTTGTGACACAAAATTATAACCAAAGACAAACAAATAAAAAGAGACTGACAAATCTCATGGTAAAGAGTGGGACCGCGTTCCCGTAGCGCAACTCTAAAACCAATTAGCAGGACCATGGCAGGACGTACGTCTTTATTGCTATCTTTCTTTATTATGTGTGCTTTATATGAAAAAGAAAGAGATAGGTATAAAACGTATCGTAAGACATTATCGCACATTCTGGCTGACGGAAAATTTAAATTAGTTATTATTAGTAGTATTCTTTCATTCTGAAACTGAATTTTTCACTTAAATCTGTTTTATTCCCCTATACCACGTAAAGGGAACGTGGTGTCGGGAATAAATCAGTTTAAGTGAAAATTTGCAGTTTCTTTCAGAACGAAAGAATACTACTATTATAAGGGAAATTATAAAAAAAGCAAAAATTGTACTGTTTTATAAACATATTTATTTATACATAAAAATAAATAAACTTTTTATAATATAATAACAAAAAATAACAGTGTTTATTCCACCCACCTACTAATTTTAACTGCAGAAGAACTGACTGTTGCAGGAAACGATCGGCCAATTTTTTTAAGGCATTAAAAATCTCATTTTCGAAAAAACTGCCTAATTGCAATAACAAAGTGAATATCCAAGCAAAGGAGTCTTTACGAGAATCATGATCCTGAACCATTTCCAAGTCCAGTTTTAATCCTAAAACAAAAGTAAAATAGGTATATTAATAAAGTTTCTGGTTACTAGCTATAAACTACCTACCCAAAAAATTAATTGTATTAATTTGTTATGTTAAGAGAGGTTCGAAATATTTTTGACACTACTACTTCTACTTGTTTCTTAATAAAATGATAAATATAACTACTTACTTTTATTTTACCGGGTGTCTTTAACATATCTATCCGAGAAAGGGGGCACCAGTACATATAGAAAATAGATGATACTGGCTCCTGCAGCAAATAAAATAACAAATAGTATAACCTAAAATTATAAGTAACAAAATATAAATACCTATATGGAACAAAGGAATTTGTTCCCTATCCATATTCATAAGTCAATAAAATGGAGAGTTTAGAAAAAAAAGGTAATTCACCAAAAGAAAAATTAACAAACATGACGAATTGTAATGATGTTGTCATCTTGGTTGTCATGATGACGAAAATGAAAGGCGATTGTTCTAATTTCTATTTAGAAATTACGTTTTATATGGCTGCTTCTTTCTCTCTTGTTATATTAGAATGAGATAGTGGGCCCAATAGACGCAATGCGCAAATCAACATAAATAGAACGAAATTTTACGTTCTGAGTAGCGCTACGGGAACGTTGTCCCTCTCTTTGCCATTTAATTTACCAGTCTCTTTTTATTTGTTTGTCTATGATTATAACCTATAATTTGGCAAGACTTTGACAAGCCTCAAAAATCTAAAGGCGAGTTCATACGGATCGGCGTCCGTTTGTCGTCCATCGTTCCGTCAAACCAATAAAATGAAATATGATCTGTCATTTTTGAAATAAACCAATAAAACTGGTTAAAAACAACAAGAGACGACGTATGACGGATTTATATTTAAACCCATCCATAGTTAACTTAAAAAATATTAGAAACTTTTTTTAGTAAAATAATTAGATTGGTATGGGACGTCATCTGTATTTCTTCTGTCATCGTCTGTCGAAATCTTACCTGGGAAAAAGAAACAGAGTATATACGGTATTTAATATATTTTAATAACGCATATCTAAAACATTTCTCCTTGTTTACCTTAGTGCAATTCCATTTTATATTCATGTAAAAAATGTACGTTATACTGTCGATAAAATAAAAATAAATTTAATACTATTTATAGCGACCTTCAACGTAATGTACGATTATATCGGCGAAATTACATAGCTATGTATGTAGCTATATTTTCGTTGAATTTTTTACCGCAAAAATAAAATAAAAGTATTTACTCTAGTACGTATGTATATAGGAGTACATCAATAGAAAAAGCAGTGTAGAAAACAATGTCGCAATTTTATATGTAAATTTATTTTTATGATTTATCGTCATTTCCCAGCCAACTAGACGCCGTTTTTTCGACCATACGTTATTTTTTGAAGTGAAACTTATTTACGAGTGCTGGGAGTAAAAGTAGTGATGGGCATTACAATTCTTTTTAGTGAATCGAATCACACGATTCAATTTCTCATATTGAATCGACTCTTATGATTCGTTCATTTGAACGAATCCCAAGCACAATTTACGTTTCATAAAAACAAGAATCGTAACTGGCCCCACAGGCTATAATTTGGTCGGACAATTACTTAAGGGACCAGAAAAATAAATATACAGTTCTTTCATTTGTTTTTCAACACTTTATGACACTGGCGTAATTGGATTGATTATTTTACCAATAATATTAAATTATCAATCCAATGCATATTTACCTACTATTTATTAAGACTTCTTAATACAAATTTAATATTTTTAGAGCCATATTTTAATTCCGAAAAAAAAACGGCGTCCAGTTGGCTTGGAAATGAACATCGATGACATTCCCCATATAATTTTACATATAAAATGACAGCGATCTTCATTTTATAACCATCGCTGACGCCGTTTTTTTTATCATATTGAGCAGAGGCCAACAATATTTATATGGAGTTAAGCATAAAAAAACGATTTCGTCTTTTAGTCCGACATTTAAATGGTTTATAGTCTGTAATATTATTTTAACAAAAATATTAACGTGAAAATTAAATACCTTACAGATACTCCCGTACTAAGTACAGCATAAATAAGTTATTTTTCTTGTAAATAACTTTCTTATCGCTTGCATTTTATGCCCATGAATTTTGTTTAGGGCTTTTATTCAAGACTAAATATTGGTGCCTTACTATATCTATGCTTATACCAC